AGCATAAATAGCTTTAAAGTAATGGTGAATTAGGCAGAGGCTCTTGAAAACTGTGTTCGGCCACCTTAATTACTCTTCTGATGGAAGTTAACAAAAAACACCTGTTTTATGTAAAGAGCTAAATCTTGCCATTTCGACGATAGTGAAAGAACAGTATGTTTCTGCGTCAAGCCATAATCTGATGGGCCTTTCATTTACAGCACAGCCTGAGAACCGAAGGACTTAGGAAACTGTTTTTGTTGACGAAACAGAACGTAGAAGCTGTGTACAATTAGTAGAATTCCACTAGATTTCAGATTTTTATCTTGCACTATTTAGAATATTTTTACAACGCCCGGCTAAATTACAATTCACAACAATTAAGAATGTAGACATGAAAAAAATGTATATCAGAGTATATGTGAAGTTGCTTTATTCATTTTTTTTCTTTTAATTGTAACTTTTTAAATTTCTTACCAGTCGTGGTCATCCCAATTACATCGGAACCAATAAGTATGTTCAGGTCTAACTTTTCTTTTTCTTCCTTCAGTCGCATGACATCCCAATTCAATTTATACTGATGGTCGGATATGGTGCGACGGTAGTGTTGGCGAACATCCATCAGCCATCGCCGGTACAGACTCCAGCGGTCTTCAAGGCTCAAACTCCAAACATCTGTAACCTGCAGTGTGTGAGGGGAAATAATGGTCAAAATAACTGTTGTAACGGTATTGATGGCAATATAGTTCGGTTAATCACATATACTAAAAGGAGGAAGTAATCTCTACAATGAATTCGTTTAGTCTTCCTGGTATCCTAGTCCCAGAGCTTTTTCCTTTTCCTTTCTCATTCAAATTTTGAGATTCTGCTAGCATAGATGTTAGCACTTGGGTCCTTAACAATACTTTACCGTGCACTAGAGATGTCATTCCATTTGTAATCTAATAATCACCTATAGGTAGGTTGATAAATGACTTGGACTTTTCCTTTTTTCTCTCATAGTCATAGCCTTGCTTTTAGTTGCTTACCATTTTCGCTTTCTCATCTGGCATGACATCTTTTTTGCTCACTTCGCGAATCGTGATCCTTTTTATTTTCCTTCTCAGGCGATAAGCATTCTGAATTTTCCATCCATCCTCGCTTTTCCTGCTAACATCGGAAGGATCCACAGCGCCCAGTTCCTCCTTTTTCCTAGCTGGCTTCGAACTGTGCCCATCGTCAATGTCATCATCACTGTCATCATCGTTCAGAATTCTTTGATCCTGAATGACGTCAGCTTCGTACCGTACATCCGGGTTCTGATTGCTATCGTCATCTTCCTTTTCTGCTTCTTCCCCTTCCACTTCCGCTTCCGCTTCTGCTCCCGTATTTTCTCCCCCTTGATTAATACCAAAGTATATTAGTTATTGTCGGCTTATGAAATTCTCCCTCATGATCAGTGGTATATATTTCCGTGTATGAGTGCAATGTTCTTCTATGTTAAAGTTATATCCTCTTCACAACAATCACCAAGGGCGCGCAGTACCACAACAAAGTTGCGTTCCTCTTTAACGTACTTGTTTTCGCCCCTTCTAAGGTGTACCAAATTTACCCATGCATTGCAAAATTTTTAGATGTGATCTGTGATGGACATACTCAACACTGTTTCTAAAAGCGAAAAAGAAAACCTTAATAAAAAACTACAGACGAACTTCCGAGTGCGACCACCCCTCCTCGGCGACTAGTTTTCCAAAATACCAAAAGTTTCCAAGTCAAATCACCATATTTTGAACCTGTTGTAAGCGACCACCCCTTGTAAGCGACCACCTCTCGTAAGCGACCACCACCACTTTTAGAGGTAAAAGTCTGAAATTTTCTTTTGTTTTTAACCTTCCGTAAGCGACCACTTGACAGATAATAGAGAGGAAAGTGGATAATAAGGTGTTGTAACCCCCCCGGGGGGGGTTACAACGAAAAAATTGGGCGGGGTTGTGCGGCCCGCTTCCCAAAACCCTTACCCTATTTATGACCAAAATCTGCCATATTCCCTACCTTATTTATGACCTGACCCTTAAATCAAAATCCTGTTCCAGATCTGCGTTACAATTAGTTCCCTAGTTTAGACCAATGTTAAATTACCGTTAACATAACATAATTTTCGATAATGATGAAAAAGTGGCGTCCTCTTAAATACATACTGATATCAAGGCTAGAGTGCAAAAAAGAATACCCTATTTATGACCAAAACGGCTGAAAAACCCTACCCTTTGGGGCCGCACATACCTATATAGCCCATGTA